ATGTATATTAGAATATATATATATACATTTATATATATACTACATTATTTAGTTAATGTGCATACAGTCTCTAGATATCCCTCTATTAATTAAAAAATTATAAATATATTTTTGCAGTCAAGGATGATACTGCAATCTGATACAACTTTTTAAATTAACATTATCACTGTATATATATACTATATATATATTAATATATATATATATGTATATATATATATTATATATATGTGCATCAATATATATATATTATATAATATATATATATATATATGCATACGGTTCTTACCTCTCAAACAGTAAAAAAGAAATAAAATGATAAATAATAAAGATTGCAAGTGAATTAATATATAAAGAAGTAATAAAAATATTTAATATTATTAAAAAATGCATATATATATATTATATATTTATTTATATAATAATTATATATACTTCGCTCGATTGTGCAGTGTATCGTCACCAGCGGAGTTGTTGATGACTAAGAAAGAAGTTTTTTTGTTTTTTCTGCATATAAATAAATAAATTTAATTTAAATAAAAATAAAACAAACGAAAGAATTATAAATAAAGGGCCGACAGCGCAGGGCGCCAAGGGCAAGCCAAACCCTAAACCCTAAACCCTAAACCCTAAACCCTAAAAGCCCCAGCGAGTGATTCCTTTGCCGTTCAGCCTCAGCGGGCGCTTCAAGCAAAAGAGCCACGCGGGTGTATGCATACAAATATATATATATATATATATATTATATGCACGTGTATATATATATATATATGTATATTTGTATATATGCATATGTGCATATATGTATTTGCATATATATGCATATACATATATGCATATATATATACATATATTATAATATAATATAAACCTGCAGCGTTTTAGCCTAAAGATACATATATCTAGAACATACATATATATATACATATATATGTATACAAATAATAATAAGTATATAAACATTTATATATATATATAAATATAGTTATATGCTGTCTGTTGCGGTGTATAATTCTTCTGTTTGTGTTTTGCAGCCTCTCCCTTTCTGAGTGTTTTTTTGTACTTCTTTGATTTGTCTGTTTGGTTGTTGATGGCGTTGTTAATTTGTTTTTCTTCTTTATCTCCCCCAGTACGTCTTCAGGGTTTAGTTTTGTTTCCTAAGGGTTTAGGGTTTAGGGTTTATGAGGGTTTAGGGTTTATGAGGGTTTAGGGTTTATAGAGTTGATAATGCATTTATCTTCTGCGTCTTTTCTTTGAAGTTGCAACCCACACAAGAATAGCAACTAAACCCACCGCTAATATACTGCCCCCAACGATAAGAACAATTTCAAGTGTAGATAAACCTGGGGGCTCTTGAGGATAGTAGGCAGGGGCTGCGGTGTATGCAGCAGCAGCAGGTGAAGTCATCAAAGCAGGCTGAGCACCCATGCCTCTCCCTTGAATTAAATTTACTCCAGTGCCCAACATGCCTGTTAGAAGTTGATCAAATATTTGTTTTGCTCCGACTTGAAGGTGAGACACCGCAACAGGTGTATCTGCTGCTGCTGCTGCTGCTGCTTCTTTGTTGCTTTGTTGTTCGGCTCCTGCAGCAACAGCTGCTGATGCTGATGCTGCTGCTGCTTCTTTTGCTTCTCCTGCTGCTGATAAGGAGCTGTTCAAAACCGAGGGTTGTGAAGATAGAGGAGGAGAAGAAGATATGCTGTTGTGTAGATTCTTCTTCTTCTCAATGAATACACCCGAACTATCGTCTCCAGCTGCAGCTGCAGCAGCAGCAGCAGCATTCAAGTCTCCCTCTTCTAACTCAGCAGCAAATCCATCTGCTGCTAAACTTTTCTGAGATCCGCTACTCCTCCTGAAACGTGCAGCAGCAGAACGGTGCTGCTTACTGCCTTGCAAAGCCACACCTGCAGCAGCAGCAGAAGCTAGTTCTACTGCTGCTGCTGCTGGTGCTGCTCTCCGCACCTTCAGCTGCTGCTTCTCCTCGCTCTCTTCTCTGTGTGTGGAAATAGAAGAAAAAGACTGAAGCTGAGGGTTTAAAGATGGCTGAGGTTTCTCTTTGCCCCCTCCACCGCTGTAGGCTGCAGCTGACGGAGGCTGACGGTGGTGTGACAGAGGAGCTGCTACTGCTTCTGCTGCTGCTGTGCTGCTGCTGCTGCTGCAGCTGAAGTGTGCGAGGAAGAAACCTGCCGCCAGCAGCAGCCACCAAGGCCGTGTGCGGCTCTCTCTCCCTCCCATTTCCTCTTCTCTCTAAGCTGTCAAATATGCTGTAATCGATTGAAACAAGCAGCGAAGTCGCTGCTTCCGAGACTCTTTTCTTAGCATGTGCTGTATTATTCCCTTCTTCTTCTCTACCCTTTGAGTTCTTCTGCACGAGACAGCGAAGAAGCCGCGGCGAGAGCTGAGGCAGTCGGCAGCGCCTAAACGCTCAAGCCAGAGATGCCCTGAGGGGCAAACAAAGGCAAAGAATTATAATTCAAGTTTTAAAACAAGAGATTAAATTGTGATATGCCGCTCTTCAGTGAAGATCACAGCAAAAAAACGAAAGACGATCGAAGGAGTGGCGGCTCGGTCCAGCGGAAGACCGCTGGTTGTACGCGTTTTTCTTGGTTGCAGTGGGAGGCAGTTGAAGCATCTCAAGCAAATATTCAAAAGAAACAAAGATATATTAAAAGAGAGATGCATGCAATCAGGACAAACAGAACGTCTCGAGCTCCCCTTTCACCGTCCTTCGCTCGGCGGGGCTGGTGTACACCGCGGCTGCAGGCACTAAAGAAAGCAGGCAGTTCTCTAGGAAACCGCGAGCTATTTTCATCTGTTGTTGAACAGAAATAAGTATATAAAAGCAAAATCAACAAAATTGATTAAGCAAATTAAATAGAAGAGGAATACATCTCGCTTTCCCCTCGACGCAAACCACTTCTTCCCAGACAGCTTGCAGGTGCCCGACTGCGGCTATAGGTGTCGGCGCTGAGCCTAGAGATGTTTCGGCAGCCTTTTTATATGTTTCCGTTGGATTATTAATTTATTTTTAGATATTTTATGAATATTTTCCCAGAACAACCTCACTGGGGCAGTATTTTAATCTATTTTCCTTCATCGTTTGCCCGCGAGGATGCGCCGAGTGCAGGCTACGCCCTCAGAAATATGTGCTGTACACATTAAGAGGAAACGATGCAAAAGAGCGGTTTCATGCTTTAACCTACTCAAATTTAATATATATAAAGCGTTTGTTTTGGCGTTGAGTTTATGCTCATCAACCAGTTAACTAGCGGCAGCATTGCTTGTTTATTCTCAGTAGAAGGCCGGACAGCCCATAAGAAATCGATCAGAAACGATGGAGGAAGTTTCATCAATAGCAGCAATGCGAGGTAAAAATTATTATTTTTAAAGATATAAATGCCTTTATTTTTGTTGTTTTTATCGTCTTAGTGCGTATTCTTGAATAAATCCACGGCATTTATATATCAATTTGTTTGTTGCAAGTTGAGCGAACTCAAGTTGGCTGAAAATGAAGAAAAATTTTTTTCTGCAGAAAAGATATTGCATTGGATGTTAGTTTAAAAAATATATTTTTATTTGTTTATTTGTTTTGCCATTAGCGATAAAGAAGTGTTCAAAGCAGTTTTTTGTCTATTTGTTTATTGCAGTGTTTCTTCTGTGAATTCTCTTTCTTTACGCAGTATTTTCTCAGATTCTCTACCACTTTTTACTTTTATTAAATTGTTTTCTTTCGGTTTCTGCCAGTAGATTATCCCCCTAAGGCAGTTGAGGGAATTAAATGATGTGAGTTCGAAGCCGAGAACCCTGCGTGCATTCACCTAATATATTTTTTATTATTAAATACTGTATTTCATTGATATTATTACTAGCTGAATGCTTATGGTATCAGCCACAGACTGGGCTTTTGTATACTATGACTCCTCTTTCTCTCTTATAGAGACATCCGCTTTATTCAATTAATAGCAGCTATGCATTTCCTTTTGAATTGCTCCTTTTCAGGTTAAGCTTGCAATCTGTATCTTTATAAGAGGAGAGAGAAGGAATATAATTAGTAGTGAATTCCATATAATATGTATATAATATATATAGATGTATGTAATATATATATATATGTACATATATATACATTATAATATATATATATATATATATATATATATATACATATATACTGTCGGTAGGTAGTTGTTTTCTATCATGACTGTTTTTCTAATATATGTAGAGGTATCATGCACACGCACGAAGAAGTTTTAATATGTATGTAGAAACGA